ATCTAAGTGCTGGTTCTTTGAAAAAATAAAAAAAGATTGACAGACACTTAACAAAACCAAAACAAAATAATAAACAACAAAAAACTTAAGAACAACAACAAAAAAAAGGAGACTGAAGGGTCTGAGAAGAAAAATATAAAAATGTAGATTCCAAAAATAAGAATGTAGAAATAAAGAAATATAACGTTGTAAGTGTAGGAGAATGAGAACAGACTGTCAGAAGCTTTCTCAATAGCTTAAGGATTAACTATTAGCAGTGGGTTATTATTTCACTTTACAACCCATATCTCTATTTACAAGACCAAAGCATTTCTCTGCAAACTGAGAGCTAACCTACGAATATGAGCAGAGTCAACTTTTAGGAAATAACCTCTGGGTTATGCATTATCCCTGCTATGTGAAACAGGTAGCATCAAAGGGGAGAACACAGGGCTTCAGTAAACACCACCTAGAAGGACCAAGGAAGACAAAAGATTAACTGCAAACACTAATTTAACTAAAAACACTCTGTTAATGGAGATTGTAAAGTAAGGCAATTTGTATCTGATTTTGATCTTGAGACTGTAAAAATTTCTCTGTTCAGACCTAATGCTTGGTGCTCCTACTATAAAAAGGTGGGTTCAAACACCGGCTTTCACCACAAGTATAACAAAATCCATCTCTGGCTGTGGTCTCAGCTAGCTGATAAGCTTTTTGTGCCCCATGGAGATTTATTTTATTTTATTTTTTTCAATTTTTCCCTGGATTCTGGTTTATGGAATAAAGTTTGTTTCTGGTTTATTAGACTTTGGTGGTCTGTCCCCATCTTTGTGCACCCTCCTGATGCAACAGAGACATAAATTAATAAAATAAAATTAAAGATTAATAAAGATATGTTATAACCACAAAACTGTCACGAAAAATATTTGGAAATACTTTAAAAATATATCCTTCATTAAACTAAAAAACCAAAAGTAAAGTATGTGAAGTTCATTCATTTTTCTCATTTCATTATTTCTCTTTTTCAAATGAGAACAAAGGTAATACTTGATGACATAAAACTCCTGTCTTATTAGCCCCATTCAATAAACCATTTGATGCCAATATGTAACATGAGGGCCAGCTGCCATGTTACACCAATAACTTTCTATACCTTTTTATTGATGCAATATAATAAAAAGATATCAGCAATTATAAGAACTTAAATACACGCTCTTTCTGATAAATCTAATCTGCAAAATGAGATTAAATTTAGAGATTAAATTTACAACAATTAAATTTATCGTCCCTAGGCTCCATTGTCTCCATCTCTGTTGGTCACCTGATGCTGGAAGCTTTGCAAAGTCTCTATGAACCTCCCAAGTTTAGGAACACCTTAAAGTGCCATGTAAGAAGTTAACCTCTATATCTAGGCTTCTGGGGGAGTAAGAGACATGTCTTAAGATTCCAGGATCACTAAATATATTATATTTAGGAATAGTTGTAAAAAAATTCTTTTCACCTGGACTTAACTCCCTAGGTCCAAATGAGAAGCAGAGGGAGGGAGAACGTGATCAAGGAAGGCAGAACCAGAGGGAACGTTCTTCCGAGGATGGATGGAGATAGAGACGGAGACCCACATTGGAACACTGGACTGAGCCCCTAACGTCCAAATGAAGAGCAGAAGGAGGGCGAACATGAAAAAGGAAATCAGGACCGCGAAGGGTGCGTTCACCCACTGATACAAGGGGACTGATCTAATGAGAGCTCACCAAGGCCAACTGGACTGGGACTGAGCGAGCATGTGATCAAACCGGATTCTCTGAATGTGGCTGACATGGGGGCTGACTGAGAAGCCATTAAGGATGGCACTGGGTCTTGTTTCATCTGCATGTACTGGCTTTTTGGGATCCTGGTCTTTTTGTATGCTCACTTTCCTGGACCTGGAGGGAGGAAGGAGGAACTTGGACTTCCCACAGGGCAGGAAACCCTGACTGCTCTTGGGATTGGAGAGGGAAAAGGAGAGGGAGTGGGGGGAGCGGGAGGGTATTGGGAGAAGGGAAGAAAGTGGAAATTCTTATAAATAGAAAAATAAAAAATTTAAAATCTCAAACAGAACTACAAACTAAAAGTAAAAATGTAAAAAAGAAAAATCATTGGTTTATATTTTCACTCAGTCATGTTCTAAAAAGAGTTTAGGATGCTGGGAGTTAGAACTTTCTTACAAAGAATGGTATATAAAAGGCAAAATGAAGAGGATCCTGGACAACCTTTTGAAGGGCATAGTTTTGCCTGGAGCCAGTACTGAACAAGGGAACATTTCATGAGTTGCTAATTTTGTGGTTCAGACAAAAGGAGCTTTCTAAGGAGGAAATCAATGTGAATCAGCCATCAGGGACAATTAGATGCTTTATATAAACACCTCCCAGCATTGCCTGAAAAACAAAGGGAAAGGTCAAGACAACAAAATTGTTTTATTTCTTCAAAAAGGAAAAATACCTTTAGAAAATATGAATCATCAAAAGTTATAGATAAAGCAATTGTAATTTTGCTCTAGTTTATTCTATAAAAGTTTTTTTACTTATACTTAAGTTGTTGATCCCTTCTGAATATATTTTCATAATTATCATAGAAAATTTTCAGGACATCATATTTTAATATTTTGATTAATAAGCAAAACTAAAATATTTGTACTTTTTCTTATTTAATCCTAGAGGAAAAATTAGCCAATGCAATTTGGGGAGAAGGATGAATTTTGCCTGTAATCATGCAACACATCTGAAAATTTTACATAAAATAACATTATTAAGTTTTACCTATAGGTCAGTGTTTCTTGTACTTCTTCTGAAATATATTCATATGTAAATAGTTACCTGAAATAGTTTACACAACATGTTAACTTATATTGAGGTATTATCACCCACAATTGAATTGACAAATAGAAACTTTATAATTTGTTATATAATTGTTTTTATTATTTTCCATGGAAATTATAAACGAAAATAACTCATCATTTAGCTTTTCACCTCCAATTCAATTTTCAGTTTGAAAAGTAAGTTGTTATTCATGATTAATAACATTCTCATGTAGAAAAACAATGTGATTTTTCAGTATTATTACTCTCTAACCCATCATATTTCTTATTGATCATTACCCTAATACACAAATTTATTTAAAAGATTTTCATTAAAATCAACCCACATACTTAGAGAATGATAAAAAAAAATAAACTCTTTAATAATAGTGTATGTTCTTCTGGCTCTGGCTAATGCCTAAGGCGGAGATGGCTTTGACTAGAAGATTTTATTAATTTAGGTATATCTTGAACTTTTTCATTCCTATTAAATCATCTTTAAATCTCTTTCAGGCTCTGGCCTCGGCTACACTCCGAACAATTTAAACAAAGATAGGAGTCTATAAGTCTGACCACTTGGGCAGATAGGAAATTTATATAGCAAATAATTACTAAGTATACCACTTGTGCTCTTTTGAATTATTTTACCTGGCAAAATTATGCTTTTCCTGAGCACAGGGTCCAGGATGTAATGATTACTGAGACACTTTTCCTTTTAGAAGATTATAATTTGATATGTGAAGGGTCAAATGGCTGCTTTCAAGTCAGGGTTGTCTCCTTCCATTACAAAATAAAGCAAAATTAAAGGCCAATATTGGTGAACAAATAATAGCAGAAATTTCTCAGCAATGCTAAACTTCAAATATAAAGCAAAATGTTTTTTTTTCCAATTTTAAACTGTCTGCTTAGTACCCTAACCACTTAGTTGCCTTTAAAGAAACTGTACTTCATACAAATTAACATTTCCTAAGCAAGTGTATTATCAAATCCTTTAAAACATCAATATTACTACTTCAAGTTTATCCTGCTTTGAGTGCACATAGGAATTGCCTGCAGAATTTAAAATACTCTTCATGCAAATGATGAAACCTTAGGAAGCTGGATGGACTGCATACAGATGCGTATATCCATGAGTTTCATTTTATTTTTTAAAATTCTCAAGATAATTTTAACTAAGCTTTAATATCAACCCTTTACAACACAACTCAAACTTATCATGGTCTCGTGTGAAAATACTGACTTCAGCAAGCGAAGTAGAGAGGCTAACTGCAGGTATTTCACCTTTTCCTTGGCTCCTTCAAAACCAAACTTCAGGTTTTATTCTCAGCCCTGTTAGGCCACCTGCTGAAATCCTCCCTGACCCCTTTAATGGCCCCTTGAGAGCGCATCATGCAGAGATCTTCTCCTCCAAATTTTTCCCCCAATTTTCTGCTTTATCTCCAAAGGGTGTTCCCTAGGAATCCTCAGGCCACTCCAGTCAGCAAAGAAGGTAGGATAATTACAGATTGTCACTTCTCTCTCTATTTCTCCAAGTCAGGTCCCCTAGTCTCATTCTCATTCCAAGCTTTGTAGCAGACCACCAGGTAATGCCTCTTCTCACTCTCTGATAGCATTCCCAGGGGACTAAGTAGATCCTAGTGGAACACCCTGCTTTCCTTTTCTTGTGGACACCTTCAGCTCCAACCCCTAGTCAATCCCCATTCTAAGTGTCAACTCCCTATACCTAGAAACACATTTTACCTGGAATCCCCAGTGCCCACACATATCAGGATCCCTGAAAATTTTCCTATCAGGTGACATACAGGCACCACACTCCCTTAAGAATAAGAGAGGTCAACAGAAACCAAGGGGAAAGAAAATCACTCATCAACAAAGACAAGCCAAATATCAGCACCTAGAATTACAACCTTTTCTAACTCAGATGCCTGGATACTAGAATAAAAATACAGATGCAATCAATAACAGCCAGGATAGTATGTCGCCATTAGAACTTAGCAACCCTACCACAGCAGGCCTTGAGTAATGGAGCATAGCTAATTGTTATGAGTCTGTAAGGACAAACAAGTCCAGGAATATTAAGAGGAAATATTAAGTGAAATATTACGAGTTTGTAAGGACAAACAAGTCCAGGAATGTTAAAATGAAATATTAAGTGACACAAAATGAAACTAAAATTATGAAACAATGTGTGCAGTGGTGATAAGAGTTTGAGCTGAATGAACAAGTGTGACGTAACTATATGATAAGCAGACATGTGTGCTAATCTAGAAGTAAGAAGGTAAAGCAGCCAGGAACAGTATAAAAACTTGAGGCTCACGGCCAGAAGACATTCTCAAAATGACTTGCTAGACATGCTGTCAGAGCAGTCATAGAGAATCCAATGAACCAGCAACTTGACAGCTGAGACCTTCCAAGAGCCAGAGAACTAGCTCTTGCCTGCGGATCAAGACTTGCTGATCCAGAGGTCTACGTCGAAAGTCATGAACCATTATCAGGTCGTATACACCAGTGCCTCAGTAAGATAGGATAGAAGACCTTGCCTAGGGCATATAATTCTTGCAGAATGTGCAATGTGATTGAATGTGTGATGTGACTGATTGACTAAGGATTGTTATAGTTTTGATGTTTGCTTATATCTGCCATAGGAATAATTCGAGATTTAAATGATTGTTATAGTTTTGATGTTTGCTTATATCTGCTATAGTAACAATTGGAGATTTGATTATTGGCATAATAAACTTGTTCTTAGAACAAAAACTGTGGTCATCCTGAGTATTTGCTTGCAGACCTCGAAGTAAGGGCAGAATGCCCACTCAGGAATAGGGCTCACGACACTAATTTACAAGGAAACAACATTTAAATGGCTTTTATGAATACGACAGAGGTCCTTAAAGAGGAAATGAGTAAATCCCTTACAGAAATCCATAAAAACACAAATAGTGGAAGAAAATGAATAGAAGTGTTCAGGAACAGAAAGCAAAAATAGGATCAATAATTAAAATTCAAACTGAGACAAATATGGAAATGAAAAATTCAGGAACTCCAACTGAAATCTCAGAGGTAACCCTCATTTGAAAAATGCAAGAGATGGAAGAGAGAATCTTTATTGAAGATACAATAGAAAGAATGAATAAATCTGTCAAAGAAAGTGTTAAACCTAAAAAAAAAATCTATGCACAAACCATTCAGGGAATCTGGGACACTATAATAAAATCAAATTTAAGAATAATAGAAATAGATCAAGGAGACGAAACCCAGGTCAACAACACAGAAAATATTTCCAGCAAAATCGTAGAAGAAAATTTCTCTAACCTAAAGAAAGAGATACCTATCATGGTACAAGAGGGACACAGAACATCAAATAAACTAGATCAGAAGTATAATCAGAAACCGCTTGTTTGTTTCCTGGCCTTCCAGATCCGAAAAACCACACAGAAACCATATTAATTACAACACTGTTTGCCTATTAGCATGACAGAACAGAGCTAGGCAGGGAAAACTAAACTGAATTCTCAGAGATAGAAGGTAGAGTCAGAGAAATGTCGTGCACCTGGCAAAGGAGAAGGACACAGAGGGACCTTACTGGTAGGCCAAAGCCTTGTGGTGATACACACATTAATAGAAATAGGTTACTTTAAGATGTAAGAGTTAGTTAGAAGAAGCCTGAGCTTATAGGCAAACAGTGTTGTAATTAATATATTTTCTTTAGGTTAGAGAAATTTTCTTCTACGATTTTGTTGGAAATATTTTCTGTGTCTTTGACCTGGGTTTTTGTCTCCTTCCTCTATTTCTATTTTTCTTAAATTTGATCTTATCCAGAGTGAGAGACATTGGAACACTCAGCCAGAAACAGTTTCTCTATCAAATCTCTCCCTTTAGGGCACCCTGCAAAAGAGGAGGGTCAAAGGGTGTAAAAGTCAAAGGGGAGGGAGGACATCAAAAAAATAATGCCCTCTGAATCAACATGATCAAAGCTCACATGAACTCACAGAGATGGAGGCAGAAAGTACAGCGCCTTCACAGGTCTGCACCAGGTCCTTTGCATGTATGTTATGGCTTCCAGTTTAGCGTTTTTGTGGGTTTCCAGAGTGTGGGAATGAGTGGTCCTCTGTGCTTTGGGCCTCCTTTTGGGCCTCCTTTTGGGCTGTTTTCCTTCTATTTTGGGCTGTTTTCCTTCTAATTGTTTTGTACAATTTCAATATTTCCCTTTTTGTTTTATCTTTTTGTGTTTTCTTTTATTATTTTTGAATAAAAAAGAAATGAAAAAAGAAAGGAAAGGAAAGAAAGCATGACTGCTACATTTCTACTTCCAGAATGACAGAGAAGGCTTATTGGAAATACGTGGGTGGAAGAGGATAATCAGAGACAGGAACAGGGACACCTGGGAGAATATGGAGTGATCATTAGCCTAAGCCATAGGAGAGAGCGTGAGGGGAAGGGAGAGGGGAGAGAGTGGAACCAGGTACAGCAACCCAGAGGCACAAAGACACACACAGAACAGGCAACCAAAATGCTTGAGAGAACAGCCCAGCTTCCTGGACTGGAGAGTTCAGGCAAGGGGAGGCAGGAGGACCCTACAACAGGTAAATACTGAGGGATGCAGGGAGAATCTGGCAGCCAGGTTCACTTTGGTATGTTAAATTGGCCCCTCAGCCACTTGTCCCATATTTGAAACGCAAACATTTCCACTTAGAAGCCTGTTTGCTTTCTAAGGAGAGACAGAAAGGTCATAGATCTAGTAACAGGGGACGTAGATTGTAACTGAGATGAGTCGAGGGAAGGGATATGATATTCAGGATACATTATATCAGAATACAATCTATTTTCAATAACTGGGGAAATATAAATACAGCTATGTTATTTAAAATATTTGAAATTACATCACAAAATTTAGTTTCAAAATCAATCTCTCTAAAAAGAACATTTTTTAAAGTTTTGAACAATTATAGTATACCAATATTATTGTATACTTATGTATACATATACACACACACACACACACACACACACACATATATATATATATATTATTGTATCCATCATGGTATACTTTGGAAAGGAGACTTTAGTATATTTTAAATAATGCCCTTAAGATTTCTTTGAGAAATGATCACACACTCACTAAAATGAATCCATTGGATGGCATCTCATACTGTGATCCTTTCTTCTATTAATCTGGAGATGGAAACACAGACTTTCAACATCAACAAGCACTCCTGGAGTTTCCTGAAAGAGAGTGCACATGATTATTGTCATTTTCAAGTTTTACTTTGAAGTGCAAAGAATAAAGACCTTTCAGCATTCTTTTCCAGAAAACAGGATTCCAACACAAAACCCAACTTTCTTCCTGTCAGAAATTTCTGCAGAAGGCCGCTAAAGTGAAATCTGCATAAGCTTCCTTAGCTTATGAGCTTAAAAGAGAAACTGCATTGCATGTTTCTAGACTGTTTATGAAATCCTTAAAGAATCATAAGACACACAAATTTGACTAGTTCAATTGTACCTTCAAACACAGCATTTAATTGTGTAAAGGGCCTGCTTCTGCCTTCAGAGCATGCATGATAAAATGTCAGACGATCAAATCCTCAACCTGCCTCGTTTAGGTGAAGTTCTTCAGTTTTATGCACTATCATGCATGCAGAGCATCACCCTGACTTACACTGTAAGACTCTTGAGACTGGAAGAATGATCTTTTCTCATCTTTGTCCTACAGGGCAACGACTTATTAAGTCAGGAGGTGACGAGAGTCATCACACTTCTTGGTATCCTCTGTGATAATAACACAAGAGACGAAGTAATGGTTTTCAAAAGCAATGCTTGAAAATAGTTAATGAATGTGACTCAGACAGAAACAAAATTAGGTGACTTATGCCAGTAGAGCATAATGACAAACGACAACAATCATGCTGGAATTTAGCACTCACAACAAATAATGAAACATTGAATGATCCAGACAGAAGACCTTTAAAAGGTTGCCAAACTCTATTTGGATAAACTCAATGTTTACATCAAGCCTAATGATTTCATCAGTCTTAATTATAATTGTGGTTTAGTAAAAGAATCACATCCACTAAAAGTAATGAAGAATGTGTCAAATGTTTGAAGCAAAACAATTAACCACTGCCCAAATGGTTATTGTTTTGCAAATAATCAGGAACTGGGGAAAACCTTGGTAACTGTGAGACAGACAGAGCCTGTTGTCTATTGACTTCCAGAGGTTCTTTTCTGCTGCAGCCCAGTGTGGCCAGTAAAGATTTATGCACTCCGGCCTCTTCCTCAAAATTTTGTGCTGTTATTATTTAGTTTTGAAAAGAGAATCTGAATACATTAAAATGAAAAAGACAACTGCTAGAAGCATATTCACTTATGTAAGACAATATAAAGTATAAAGTTCTTAAAATAGAGTTTAATATTTTATGTCTAAAATTTTTATTTTGATATTAGTAGAAAAGGATATCAAGTTTGGAAATGATAAAATGTCACAATGATGGGCTTTGTAAAAGACTGATCAGGAATGATTTGATTTACTTCAATATGTTATAAAAGTACTTACCCGGTGAAAATTCCATTGTAATATTTGTATAGCAATAGCTATTCATCAGTTAACATTTCTTGTAAATATTTCCATCTTTTGATATAGGATACTTTTGTCTAGATATGACAGCACTGTGGATAGTTTGTTCATTTCCTAATACTGTGGACATCATCAAAGACTTGCTGAACTTGCCTTAATTTTTTTCTGTAAGTATAATTTTGGGAAAGAATGTCCATAAATGGAAATATATTTCTGCAAAGTACATACATACTTTGTGTGACTCTGTTCTTTATTATCAAATTTACTGTAGATAGAAAAGGCAGGAAATTTAACCTAGCATTAGAGACATGTAATTTATATGTAGTCAAAGACCCTATGTATGGCCTTGACAATCTATTTTGTGTCAGCAGTATAACAAGAACAAAATGATTCCTTAAAATTCCTGTGGTGCTCTTGTCACCTGCTGCAAAGACTATACCTTTCTCTATAATGTGATACGTTGCATAGTTTCTTTAGGTAATAAATGATATAAAGTCTGAATACTAATAAGAGATTAGATGTTATATAGACTTGGTTTAATTTTCTTCCCAGACCTCATGTTTTATGTGATTTGTCAATTGTAAAACTTACAATCTGTACTTGATTTTTGTTTTCCGACCAAGGCAAGACAGAAGATCTCCAATTACCTGTTTCATGATCATTAGGAAGGAGACAAAGATGTAGATGGGTAGGAAGTTTGGAAAGGCATTTTTGACAGGTTCACACTTCGTGCAATTTTGTGACACATACATGGGAGAAAGAATCTTTAAGACTGCTCTCTCAGTGCAAGGTAGGAAACCATCTACATCCATGAGTCTGGTGATTTTCAACTTCTGTGGATCTTAATCCCTTTGGGAGTCTAATTACCTTTAAACAGGGGCCAAATAGCAGATAAACTGCATACCAGACATTTGCATTACAATATATAACAGTAACAAAAATGTAGCCATGAAGAAGCGAAGAAATAATTTTATGGTTGGGGTTCCCTTCATCATAAGAAGCTATATAACAGGACTGAAGCATTAGAAAGATTGAGAAACATGATAGCCATTCCCGTAAACACCAGTACCAGGGCAGTGAACATGGATCCATTCAAGCACAGCAAGTGGTGAAACTGCTAATGTCAAAGTGAAACAATCCCACCATAAGAATAGAATGAGCTATACACATCTCTTCACTAGCAGTTCTATTACAACTCAGCCATAGTATGGGCAAAATGGTATTTTCTTAAACTGCTTAGATTTTAAGACATAGTCCTAAATATTGGAGGTGAAATTTATGTCCTCTATACTAAATATTTTTGTAGAATTTTAAAAATTAAAAGTGATGATTTTTATTTTTATTTTTAAGGAGTGACTAGGACTAAATTTGCTCTCACTTAAACATTAGTCACTAGGGGAAATATGAATGCATTTGCTGATTGCAGAGAACTGATATTTGACAATGACTAACTGTTTTTTTCTGAGAAAAGAGAAAGAAGGTAGAGGTTTAGAATGCCCCAGAAATAGACCTAAATTATGCAGTCTGCACTTGAGAAGGAAACCCCAACAGGAAAGGGCATTCTCATCCTGGAGGGGTCATCGAACCAGTTCAGGGAGGTGCAGATGCACAGATTTGTGAAGCAGAATGTGAAGGGGACAAAAGAGGTTCCCCTGAAATCCATTCATGAGAAGTCAGAGGTCAGCTTCACAAGTGGAAAGGGAAACTTCAGGGGGGCATCAAAGTGACAGCAAAGAACCAAGAAAGAGCATCTAGAGGGTCAAGCCCTTAGAGTTATAATTCTGTCAACAAGAGTTTGAGAATACCTACTCAAAATCAGTGTGATTAATTTACTTAACAAAGCTTAAAAAAAGACTTTTTTCTTGTTTCTTGTGCATAGTGTAAAATGTGGGTGAAAACATTGTCACACGCTGATCTCCTTTGGCAATTTGTCCAGCAGCAGAATTGCTAGGTACATGTTGGCTCCATCTTTAATTTTTGAGTAAACTCCATTCTTCCCTCCTGTCAGGCCACTAACTTTACACTGTTTATAAAGACAATAATAGTGGAATGTGGGTTCAAAATGGATGTAAGTGGAAGTTTAGAGTATCTACCTTATTGTAGTAGATTTGCTTTTTTTTGTCCTTTATTGTCATATTCTCCCCACCTGTGAGGCACACAGATGTATGTGAGCCTGCCCCACCTTGACTGGAGGTCAGAGAGTTTGAGCTTAGTTTTGCTCTTTGACAACAGGTGTGGCTACACACCCTGACCAGGGTGTGGTTACCTGATGTTTTGGACATTAAGATTTCCCTTAGAGGCCCACTCCACCTTGACAAATTCTCCAAAGGTCAGAGAATTAAGGCATACTCCTGCTTCTTCATTTGAAATAGGAGATTTGACATAGGGAGTGGCTATCCACAGGATACTTGCTCTTGGGTGTGTTCATTACATATACTGCATCGAATGCTTTACTCAGGAATTAACAGCTTTATGTCTCAGGTGTTGTAACAAGTAGCTCTTTTTCTTGTCCTTTGTGTTATATTAAAACAGTCTTTTGCCTTCTTTTCCATTTTTGTAGGGAATATAAAAGCTTATGAATATGAAATGCAGGCAGATTCAGTATTCCATATACACTGAATTGCTCTCCTGGTACTATCCTATGTCTCTGTATTTCTTTCACAGTTTTCTTCTTCCTACCTTGTATTTTTAATCCTCATGCCCGTACCCTGGAGCATATGAACCCATCATGGCTTAGGACCAGAACTGAAAGTCATCCCAAAACATATGGTTCATGACACCCATTCTCCCATTTCTCACATTTGTCCATCTTAACTCTCTGTCTGAGAACAGACAGATTATAGTACAACAAAGAACAAGAAACAAATCCTGCCAAGAGCAACATGAATTAGGCTCCATTGTGAGTTCCATATGAGCCCATAGTCCCATTTGTCACTTTACTACACTGATAAAGACCTTGAGCCGATGAGATCCAGGTAGAATATTCCCATTTGCTACCTCAAAGGAAACCTATAGGTACACAAAAGACATAAGATGAAGCTCATGTTCCTTTTTATGTTTCGATATAGAATATGGCTCTTTAGATATATGAAAAATAACAATTTTTGTTGAATTCGTCAATGTATTCAAGTGCAGAGTGTATAATTAGGAATATGGATTAAGATAGAATACTCCCAAAGAAATAGTGTCTCATTGTTTGCCTGCCTTGGAAACATGTTGCTAAATGTCACATAAATCAGTAAGAACATTCATATACTCATTATTAAGAGATTCTTAAGCATCAAGTATTGGCAAGGGGGAAAGTATTGGTTCTCTGTGGTTGACAGACATATAGGATGCACTGACTCCTTTGCAGTTTTCTTTCATGAACTTTAAGCGACCTCACAGAGAAGATGTGGGGGCTGTGAGAAATATAGTGAAAACCTCTGAAACTCTACCCAGCACCATATCCTTTGCCTCTGATACTGTATCCAAACTTACTTTGTCAACAGAAATATGACGCAACATGTGATGTGAGAACAGGGGTATGTCTTGGCTAGTCTTTTGTCAACTACAAGCTAAAGTAATCTGAAAGGGGGAAATCTCAATTGGGAAAATGCTTCCGTAAAAATCAGGATGTATGGCATTTTCTTAATTAGTGATTAATGCGGGAAGGCCCAGACCATTGTATGTGATGCCACCCCTTGGGTGGTCATCCTGGGTTCTATAAGGAAGCAGGTTGAGCAAGTCATGATCATGAAGTCAGTAAGCAGCACTCCTCCATGGCCTCTACATCGACTTCTACCTCTAGGTTTCTGCCCTGTCTTCCTTCAGCAATGAACTATAATGGTAGATATATAAGTTTAATAAACCCTTTCTTCTCCAAGTTGCTTTTGGTCATGTTGTTTCATCATAGCAATAGAAACCCTAACTAAGACAAGGTGGAACTGGACTGTAGATGAACCTAGAATTATAAAGTTCCTCCAAACCCTCTCAGATCCACCTTCTCCATATATGCTATGGAAAAAGGAACTTATCTACATGGAAAGGGAAATAAAATTATACAAGTACACAAGAACTGAGGAAAGGAATGAGCAAGAAATTCCTAAAAGATAAAACAAAAGAAAGAGAGAGAGAGAGAGAGAGAGAGAGAGAAACCTACCATTATATTCAAAGCAAACAAATGAAAACAAAGGTTTTATTGTACTGCCCTGTCCCACAGCTGCTTCTAAATAATCACTTGGAGGCTTAATATTAATTACAATTGTTTGACCTATAGTTCAGGCTTATTGCTAACTAAGTCTTACATTTGAATTAACCAATTTCTATTAATCTATGTATTTTCACATGGCTTGTGGTTTTACTGGTGGTCTAGTACACCTTGCTGCTCCACTGGCTGGTTGGCATCTCCCTAGGTTCTGCCCTTCTTCTTCCCTGTATTTTCAGTTTGGCATTCCTGCCTAGCATTATTCTGCCTTGTTACAAGCTTCTTTATTAATCAATAGGAATAAAACATATTCACAGCATACAGAAGGGTTATCACACAGCAAGCAAAGAAAAATGTGTGTCACTGGATAGATTGTTCAGCAATTAAGAGCACTTAATGCTTATACAGAGGACCTAAGTTTGGTTCCCAGCACCAAAATCAGGCTGCTTCCAGGGAATCTGATATGCTTTGGATTATACAGGCACCCACAGAAACATAGTATACATAAACTCATGCAGATATACATACATAAAAAAATAAATAGGCTTGTCAGGACCACAATTCTAAGATACACAAGGTGCTTCTCTTAGAGTGAGGGACTTCATCAGAGTTTGAAAGAGTGTCCCCAGCCTTTCTGGAGCTACTGTGTTATCTCATGTAAAAATCAACAGTTGAATACAATAGAGTGCTGCTCTCTGGAAGTAGCATAAACGAAGGGGTCAGGTGGAGAGAACAGATTAAGAAAAGCCCTCTGAAATTTCCCAGACCTTGAGTGAAGAAGGATATGAGACTGTGATACACTGCTGGAAGAACAAACTTCAAACTCAAGTCTTAACCAGATTTGCACAAACCATTACAATGAAGTTCCAGTAGGACAGGTGTGCTCATCTCTAAGCATGGACTGCATTTATTCATTTATTATTTTAATTTTATTACAGACTCTAGCTGGATGACCAGAAACTTGGAGCCTAGAGAGCTCCT